ATATTGTTCGTAGTGGGTCAATTCTCCCAGGGATGACGTACAAACCAGCTTCGGAGCGAGCGGCTAACAAAATATTGGCGTTGGAGCATGCTTGGCAGCGAACTTATCGCCTTTCGCGACCGCTAGAAAATATACGGGTTTTGGTAGCACGGCTTAATCTGACATTCTTGTCACCCGACTCGCTGACGAGCTTTGTTACACGCAAACATCACGATTCCCTTATCGCGGTGGAATGCGGCTGCACGGACGCACCTGCACAAGCCAATTAAACGATCGAACCCGGCCTCGGATCGCGACGCTTTATCATCCGGTTCGATTGCGAACTCGAAACTGCCGTTGAATTATTTAACCGAACCCCTGATAGCGTTAAGCGTCGTGTTACACTTTTGTTGGATCGCAATAAGTGAATTTTACACGTTATCTTCAACGATGATCTATCGTTTTTCATACAACTTCGATATTAATTCCACATTCGAGTCATTATGTACCTCCAGATCAGATTTTTAGATTATCGAATCTGATAGGTACATAAATGACACGCAGTGGTTGGACGGTAAATCTTGTAACAGCCACAATGTCGTTAATACAGTGATAAATCGCGTTTTCCACCGGTTTGAGACACGTGGATGCGGGACGCTGTGTCTCTCTCGGCTCGGAAGTGGACACTCGCGTTCGTCTCGTTTCAACGAATCCCGAGCGGGGGCCATCAGCCGCGATTACCTGCTGAAAATGACCGTCCACGAAGCCCGTCGCTTCTGACGTTTACGGTTAACCCAGGAGCTTGATTTATCACGCCACGGTGCAGGTCGTTTCTCATCCCCATGTAAAGCCACTGAGTTCATTCGTGGACACCGTCCAGGCGAGAAAAGGGTTCGTAACTTAACCGGCCTGAGCGTTTACCTTAATGATACGTCTGACACCGAAAATTCGGCTCGTCGGCCCTTCTCCTTCCCAACTGTCGTTAACTGCGTTTTCGAACCCTTACGATGGGTACCGTGGACTTTGTGAGGTTTTAAGTTACAGGACTAGTGTGCTCACTGAATATAACTTAGGAAGCTTATTGGAACCGTAAAGTTAAATCTCTAAAGACAATTCGACCATCTTCGAGTTTGTAAGGGCCGTACTTTAAGTCACTAGTTCGAAATAAACTGCACTTGACTTTTTGTAACTCGGTTTACCAAATCATTATAATAAACGATTTTCTATTTAATTAATTTCTCTATTGCTGGCTTGCATGAATTTATTGAAAAAAAATCGAATTTTAATGCGATGAAGAGGACGAAAAAGAACATATGAAGATCGAGTTCTTTGGGATTCTTTGCTCGGAAATCTACACCTACAGAAGATAGGATCGCGGGTATAACCCTTACAAAATCTTCCCAAATCGTATCCTAAGGATAGATACGAAGTGAACACGGGGGTAACAGGATATATCTGGAGGAATCTGATAACTTCGGCATCCACGAAGCCAACAACTTTTTATACATTCATTGCTTCATCTGTACTTATTTTATACCGAATATAATTCCAACTTATAATAACTACCTTCTCTTTAAAATTACTGAGCTACATCCTTCATCACTTAAATATATCAAATCAATCTTCTTTATTAATCTCTCGCAACACAAACATCCTTTACACACCTATTCATCAATCCCTTTAAACAACACGTGTCAACTACCAAATCAAAACTCCAGAGTCCATCAGTCTATCTGTTTGACCCTCCAACTACAGCTAACAAAAGCATGGAAATCAAGTGTAGCTACCTGACACTTCTACCAGTCTGAAGGTTGATTGTTCAGGCCGAAGCTGACCTCATCGTCAACCCTTGTCAAGTATGACAAAGTTGAACCTGTAGGAACCATTATAGAAAGAAACGGTAGGCAATATACCAGAGGGATATAAAATATCAAAACGCTTTAAAGAATGGAAATACCATTTCAACAGCTTATAAATTATTCTCTTTTATATAATTTATGACATATTATATTTTTCTCGACGGAATTGGCGTCGTTTAAAAGAATTTAAACTAGAAATACTTGATTGACGCGAATTAATTTCGGTTAGACGAGTACTTAAAACGGATCTCTGTACATATTTAAAACTCAACAGCAGGGAGTCTGATCTATAGTTTCAGCACTAATCCGGCAGACCCTCGGGCGTCCTGATTTATACGCTTTTCTCTACTCTGTACTCAAGATTACAGCAATGTCTCTCCTTCCGACGCATCACTGGCATGCCGAGGTTGTACGGATCGGTCCGGATACGGATAGTACGGACCCTGCTTAACCTACACGAGGGTTCCCCCAGGTGGACCCGAGCGCACCAAAGGGACGTAATCCCTCGGGCAAGGAACGGGTATCGAGAGTTATGCGCATGTATTAAATTTCAACTCTCGCCCGAGGCCAGACACGCCGCGGCTGGTTCCTTCTGCCTTCCTCGCTGAAGGTGCAAGGTGCAGTGAGCCCGACCTACGACCTTGGCAGTCACGACCGCGAGTATCCAGTCGGCGCGCGGTGTGTAACGTGTCCGCATCCCCGTGGCTGGTGCACGCGTGCCTCACGGAATACCGTTTCCTCGCGCCTTCGCTTCGCACAAAGTTGCACTTCGCCGGTGTCGGCGAGTCATTTTTCATATTACTCACATCAAACCATCAACAGGAACTATCTTTAATCTTTTAAAAATCCTATCCAGAGGGAAGAATTAAAAAAAGAAATATTTTCAATCATCAAATAATTAAGAAATAATAAATTGAACTAGTAGACTGGGTAATCCAGCCATGCAGCCGAGATTTCCGATCTATCTCTACGCTCTGAGGATCGTGAAACGAATTTATCAAATGCTACTATTTAAACTAGGCACCGTTTTCACCGAGTCGAGTCGCGACCGTGCCAGTGGAAACCGTTCGGTTGCATCGCTTTCGCCGTGCAAACTGGAGCTTTGTCTCTTTTTCACCGGTAAGGCTCCCTTTCTGTCTTCTCGATCGTTTGCCACGGTGGTCGCACGACGTTATCGTCCTTGTCGAAAGCGGCCTCTAAGATCGTGATCGGCAGGTGGTCATTGCCGGTCGGCGGCGGGCTCACTCTGAATTTCTAATCGCGAGCCAGCCTGCCATTAATTAGCAACAGGATGAGCGCACGGTTTCAGAAAAGAAATCCTTCGGTTAATTCGTGGGAAGGCTACGATTTCATTGGATCCGGTATTTTATCAAGTTCAGTCTGTTTTCGATGAACTTAACGTGGCAATGAACTAGAAGTTCAACTCAGAGAATGAATTTTCAATCCCAGTGTAAACTATATTACAACTTTTACTGGGACGAAACACGCAACGGAATAGCGACTCCGTCCGGGGTTCGGTCCAGGCATCTCCGTCGTCACGAGACGACAGATACAAGGCCTGAAAATGTGATCGGGTTTAGAATTTCTAGGGGTGCTGGACTCGTTCCGGTCGCTAGAAAATTCCCCCGTGGGACGTAACCGCTCATATTACCGCGGCCGTATGCCATTTTGTCGCGGACAAGACAAACGAGCCGAGCACGCCGATAAAACGATGTTCGTGCTCGATTTATCGCTGCGAAACCGAGTGCTTCGCCACGAGGGAACCAAAGTCGCCTCGGTGCTGGCTAACACTCCAATTTTCCGTAATTTCAACCCACGAAATTGGAAACCTTATCGATCCGGATTACGTTACCCAATGTTAAGCGTAAACTCTGTTATTACGCAGTTTTATTCGCCAAAATTTCGGTATTATTTATTAATGATGTATCAATGACTCGTAAAAACTGAAAATTACCATCTACTGAAAATCACCAATTAATTAATGAGGCAGTTCTTTAAGGATGTATTTGGCTATACAGTCAATCCCAAAAGTTTATGTACCTTAGATAAACGCAGTTCCTATAATTAAAAAGAAATCAGACATCGGAAGAACAGTGCTAATAATAAATAGCTACGTGCTAAAAAGCGGCAAAATGTTAACATTGTTTAAGTATATAGCCTATACATCCTTAAAGAAAATGCTTGAACACCGGGAAGCGATGCAACACGAGTTCGAACAAAAGCACACGTTCCCCGTTTTTTCTCCGGCGGATGCGTTTCTTTTTAACCGAAAATTAACGATCCGTGATTCACGCAGCGGGGAAGCCGAAAACTCCGCGTTGCTTATTTCTCTGTGCTTATTCACTATCCAGACGGTCCGACTCTCTTTTTTTTTCCCGCGCCGTACGGTTTCATTGACAAACGATATTACTCGCGACGAGTTATCGCGGCGTCATCGTTGGAAGCAAATGCACGCGTCGCGTACCAACACGTATTTTATTTTTGTATCACAACTGACAAACACGTGTTGCACCCGAAACCTTGGCCCCGATCGTTAGTTATTCGGTCAGTCCATCCATACTGATTCGCTGACACCCTTGTCTCTACCCACTCGATTAAATGTGCTGTGGCGGGACAGATTAATTTTTATCTGACAGAAAATAGACAACTTTTATTTTTATATATTTTAAGTGAACTTTGTACGCGTCCTTGTTAATTTATTTAATAATACTATATATAATACAAAGTTTAAAACGTACTTGTAAGAATTAGAAAACCAGCTTTGTAATTTATAGATAATGAATGAACCTATTGTCTTTCTAAAATCCCAAGAGAAAGCAACTGATACAAAATACCTTTCAACTTAAAATAAGCATTCATTTACTGCGTATGAGAGTTCCTCTCCGCCTAGTCGACCGTGAATTGCACTTGCTTAAAGAAGCATTGTCTCAATGAACGTGAATCTCTTAAATTAATTCTAAAGAAGAAAAAGGACGGCCTAGTCTCACGGCCCATTGAACGTATCAGATCTATATTTCACGAATGACTATCCCAGGAGAAAGTGTCTCCTTTGAATGCCACGGGAGAAAAAGATTACGCGCGCACGTGCGATAAGAGGCAGGAATGTGTACGGAGGGAAAAATGTGAATTATCGGTTCCAGCAGGCGAGTCAAATTGGCTGAAAATTTAACAAAAGAATTTTATTCTTTCTCAATTTACGATAACAAGTGACTAGCACTCAAAATACAGCGATCGATATCGGCCAGAAATTCGAGAAATCGCATAACATACTCTCACGTCCTCACGATTCTTATGGATACTCGATTCATCTCAACGTTCTCAGATTTCGCACACTTATGGAATGTATCGATTTTTTTTATTTTTTAGGCACACTCTTGGAAGCACATACTTTCATCCCTCGGTTACGCGGCTCGCGAATAAACCTTTTCCCTTCCTCTCGTCAAAGTAATTTTAGCCGTTCGGTGGAGATCATCAACTTCCTGGCGTATTTACAAATATTTAGCGCTCCACTTACACGGATTACGTTTTATAAAAAAAAAAAGTGGGAACTCGACCGTGAATCATGCAAGATTCCAGCGAGGGTACAAAAATATAAAAAAGCGTAGAAAAACTGCGATGAAAATAATCAGCTGCTGTCCAAACATATTAAAGAATCGACTTGATTTCATGATTCCTTTACTCCGATACATTTTGTAAATCCAAGTTATTTCACAAGAGAATTTTCCAAATAAATTGAACAGCAGTTTCAAACTGATGAAATCGAATAAAAGTTCCAACCAACGACAGATCACACAACCTCCTCACTTAATGACATTGAAAGTGATGTAAAAAAAATCTATTGATTGACCCACACTCACACATATGATAATTTTCAAAACACGTCGTTTCATTCATAAGGAAAAAGCTAAGAAAAGGTGACTTCGCGAGACCAAATCGAACTCTCGTGCACTCAACAACGCTAGAGATAAAGAAAGGCACTGAAAGAACTTTATATACAACATGACTTACAATTAAACATCTTAAAAACTCGATCTAAGTCGCTTACTGTGTATAATCGTAGAAAAAACGATCTTTTTTTCTCTTTTACTTTCTTATAAAAAAATTCTTCAACCTATAGATTGTTTCGTCGACGAAGGAAACTACGTGAACTTGCAACGAATTAAATGAAACTGAGTCATTGATTTAAGTCGATGCTGCCCTTTTTAAAACACGTCATATTAAGAAAGTTAACAAATCCATAAATGTATCGCATGACATCTCAGCCTGTACGAAAATAGACAATTGTAAGCAAGAATCTTGAAAACAGATTACCTCCCAAGCTTCAGAATAGAATTTAGACAGCACAGATTTAAATTATCACGTATGACTGAGCGTGAATGACTCCTGAGATTCGCAAGTCTCGCTACGAGAGATACTTTTAGCCTAAACGCATATTGAACGCAGGATAACACACCTTATGACACATAGATTACAGGTGTTGTACTAGAATTTTGTAATTTACAGGTTCAATCATAATATTGCTCTAGCAATAATACATTTGTTCCGTGTTTCTATACAGTTCTGTGCTGATACTAGTAATACCAATACTATATCAGGCAGAGAAAATACATGATTTTATTATAATACTCTTGGATATTTATCTCGTCGTGAGAGTATCACAATCGATGTTTAACAGATTTTCGATTCCTGTTTCTAAATCACATATTCTATACATACATGCATATGTACAAAGATTACCATTATCAACAGACACACACGATACCGTCCCAAATGCATATACACACGTGTATATTGCATAATTTATGTCTGCACTCTGAACGTACTCTGGTTCATCCTGCATTCAATATCCGTCTGAACGTAAGAGCACAATCGCTGACCCAGCAAACCCAACTGGACCCTTCTTGCATTACCTGTTTCCTGTAACTTGTTTCATCTTACGAATCTAATGCATCGAACGAATCCTCGAGATTATCCTCGAGATTTCCACACTCGGTGAATGTAACGTGCTATGTACACTTAGGCTACTTTCAGTAGGAACATTAAGGTTGTCGAATCGATTACACGAAAACCGGAAGTTCGATCTCGAGAAACGGAGACCCGCGTCCCGTTTTGTTTCGCAGGTATTGGGCTCGTACCCCGGAACATCGACAGCCCGAGACGAGGAGAACCGTGGGAGCAGAAAGTGTGATTCATGAATTCTTGTTTCTCCCTCAGTCGCTCTCTCCTTTGAAAATCCGAAAAGAGAGATTTAATAAAATAGCTGTCACTCACTCGAATTAAATAATGAAACACAATCTGTGTTCGTGAAACAAGAACTATGAACGCCACCGTAGGATCTCAAGAATAATATTTAACAAATTGCGTACGAGCGCAGGTGATTAATTACTTCGTCTCGCGACCGTCGATCAATTCCACCAACGTTCACTCGATCACGAGTGATCCTCTATCTTTCTAAATGGTAGAACGCGAAATGCAGCGTAGTCCGCGCGAGTAAACGTTCTTCGCTCTGCGGAGACTGCAAAATTTGAAAGACTCTCGGGTTTCATTTCGAGTACGACTCGTTTCCGATTCCGCAACAGGGAGACGAGAATCGATCGAGCTCATCGCATCCCCTCGGTGACAAACCGAGTGCGATTAAAAAAATGACCGATAATATGTGGAATTCTCTCATCAGGTGCATACAATCGTTTCAATGGATTAAACTGAAAGCTTTGTTCTACTAACAAACGAACTTGAGTATCATTGCAAGCAATTGAGTGTCGATATTCTATGCGGCACTTGTTACTATAGATGTTAAAATGAAATGAAAACCACGATTATTCGCGAATGGATTATAAACGATGCGAAATGCAAATTGACAACTATGACTTTATAGAGATACTTTGCTCCGAAAGACATTAAATGTTTACGACACGTACTTATGGTAAAATAAAACGGAACACGTGTCACATTTAACCGTTTAATCGTCGTGCGTCACGACAGATAGAAAACTTGCCCTCCATAATTATTATTCCAAGTCCTAAGTCGTTTATTTGGCTTTAACCCAATAATTTTTCTTTTTTATCTGAGGAGATCATTGAAAGGTTAAGCGAAACTAAACTTACCAACGATTTCATTCACGTTTCTATTTAAGAAACATACGTACATTAAAAATACGTTAGGAGCAGGTAACATCAACGTCTATGTAAACGAAGTGAATAAAAACACTTTTCAAGTCACTTAGCCAGAAAGCGATTTGCGATTTTATATAATTTAATTTACACCGAACTCATCACGATTTTTTATTATCGTTTCAAGAATAAAAAAACGTTAATTCGATCAATGCATCAAAATTATTTTTGTTGTATCCATCATAAATTATTCGATAGATATAGGAACTAGGACCTTTTACATGTACAAAGAGAAATGAACATTCCAACTATTCTGAATACCCGTAAGTATGTACAATTCATTCAAGACTTACCTCGTTCGAGCAGCAAGATCTTCAACAGTCAACTCGCACTCTCTCACACTCCAATCACGCTAACATCTTTCTTGATAAAAAGATCATCCTGATGAGAATTCCCTCAATATCCGGTCACGCTTAAAGCTACTACGTTCAGGAACAGCGTCGCTCGAATCGCCAAGACTCGGGCAGAAACATTCGAAGTTTCATCTCTGAAGAAGAAGATTCATTCTCTAAGAAAATTCCAAAAATTATGAAATTTTACATACAAGCGAAATAAGTTACGTCTACTTTTTGTACGTGTCATAGTACACTTTATAAGTATGAAATTAATCGTTAAAGAAAGTTTTTTCGTGAAATATCTCGAGAACCATAAATGATAATAAAAAAAGTGAAGAAAACTATTTCTAACAAAGTTCCAAAATTTTTGGAATTTCTGGGCTGACAAATCTAAGAACGGAGACGAAATAGAAGTGGAAAAGAAAATGGAAGGAAACGAGTATAGGATACGCGACGAACGAAGACAATAAAAACGGGTAATCGGATTCTCGATTTTCTGGCCCTATTTCACAAGGCCAGAATCATTCGTCGCCGTTTCCACGGCAATCGTTCACACGGTTCGCTCAATTCTCTGTTCTCACGAATGTCTCCGCCGGATATCAAACGAAAACGTCTTTCTGCGCGCGGGTATCTCACGCAAATGTCAGGTAAACCGGCCTTTTTATTATCCGAGCGTAGACGATTCTCTCGTTTTCCGATCGAACTCCCGGAGTTCTTAACACGCCACCACAAACGGATACACGCCTCCTGCACCCTCTTCCCTCCCTCTGAGTAACCACAAACCAAACATTGTTCTACCGAGCAACAGTAAAGCTTTCGATATAAGTACATATCGTAATAAGTTAGGAAGTTTATTTCCCTTCGATTTTTCGAATATCTTCCCCTCCAGATGAGCTCCCTTGAACTTTCACTCTTACTCAATAGGACGACAAATGTCGCTCGTTCAAGGACGGTTTGTCGAATGTTCGCGATTCGTAGTTTCTCACGAGAGATGACAGATCTTTTTACCTTTAACCACCGAACAACGTCTTCCTGCTTTGTAACAAAACTCCATGAACTGCTGCACTCAGAGGACATTGAAAACATTCTTCACCCTTTCTTTAGTTCAAAAAGAAAGTCGGCTTTTCGCTTCATTTCTGCATGGACGATCAATTTCCATGTCCTCGTCAACGGTTCGAGTAGACGTTGCTGCTGAGAACGACCACGTCGGTTCTCCTGCCGGGTTCGTCACGACCTCCGAGGAGGAGGGCGCAGAGGAGGCGTCATATACTCAACGAGGGCCTCTTCTTCCGGTCCTTCGTCGTGTTCTTGCCGAATATCGTGCCGAGCACCCTCGAGACCGAGTGGACGCCCAACTTCCGGCGAATAGGGAGAGCTCGGAGCAGTTGCACCGACCTCGCCTCCCTGAGGAGGGCTTGAAACGCGAGTGCAGCACCCGCGGGACTCTCCGCCGCGCTGACCTCGTAAAATTGGCAGCCATGCGCGAGGGATAATTGCTGGCCTTCGTCCACGCATACTTCTCTGCAACAGAATAATTAACGTCCTGCTTTATAAGCATTGTACCTTTGAAATTAAACTGATTAGTCATAATCAATTATCGTGAACAAGTGCGACGGAAGTGATCGCGAATGACAACACATTTAATTTTAGAATATCGCAAATAGATCGTGATGAAAATTGCGATTACAAAAATCGGGTAGGATGAAAAGGAAACGGAGGGTAACGAATCTTCTGCAACATATGGAACCCGTAAATTCCCGGTGCTTCCGGTCGCAGATGAACGGAAGCTATGAAGGTCAGCGGAACAGGGATCAAAACGAGTGGACGGGTCACGACTTCTTGGCAAACAACGTGTTCCGGTCGAACGAAAGTACAGGAAGGTGAGTGAACGCGATCATAAAGAACACGGATCACTGGAATCAAGCCAGGTCTGGATTTATAATTGACGGCTGTTTAATTTTGATTATTTTCAAACGAATTATAATTAAATCAGCATGAAAATACTCGGGACGCTGAATGTAAGAACTGATCGTGAAAACACGTACGTGGAACTTAACGTTCGCTCATCATCAAAATTCATGCTTTTCCACGGCAACATGTCTCAGTGAACGATCCACTTTTTCATCCATCACGAATCCCCAGAGGTAACCGTTTCGACAGGTAGGGAAAGGGTTAGGGCCGCGGTGCGCTCGTCGTATTTCAGCGTTACCCAACGGGGGAAGGCCCGCGATATTTATGGTGGCAATTAAATTCGCGGGAACACACGATACCCTCCGAGCGTCGGACGGAAAGAGAAAGAAGGACGTATAGTCGCGTGGGAGGGCCGTGCACACGTCTAATCGCGCGCACGAGACTCGTACGTGCATGCACACGCGAGGCGAGCGGGAGTGCAGACCCCACGACGTTCACGGCCGTTAATCTGTCCCCTTTTATTTTATACGAGGCGATCCGTTGCTTTACGAGGAACAGCGTTAGATTCGAGAGCTGGCTGCCTGCCGTTTCCCGCGCTCTCTCACGATCGAACATCCCCTTTCGGCCTCCCCCGTCCGCGCCCGGTTCGTCTTCCCTCGAGGAAGGAAATCGAATGCGCGATTCGTTAGCAACATGTCGTAATTATTATTTTATTACTGAGAAACCTACTTCGCAACTCTTCTCGCTCATCATGTACCCCGACTCGTTATTACAATTTATTTACAAGCATTTACTAAAGAATCACTGGCTGAGGACGTTCAACCGTACGATGAAAATGATCCCGTGTTAAGATATGCATCGGATCGATTGTCTAGATTCAATTATGAAGAAAACAGTGTAATCTTTATTGAAAGAAATAGGTATGACGAAGGGAGAGGCTCGACATTTTGCTGGCTGGCGAAACGACGCGACCTTTAAGCCACGATGAACAAGAGTTGTGGCGCGACGACCGGATTACACCAAGATTCGAACAAATCGCCAGAGATTCCTCGCGCTGACTCGACTAATGGAAACTTGCATGACCCGACGATTAACTGGCGCCTCTGCACACTAAGGGGATTTTCCCTGGCTCGATTCTACGGATGCTGTCTCCCCAGAGAAGACAGGATGATTAGACAGAATAGAATAGATGAACTGAAGCAAAAATTCACTGCACAACACAAACTTGAAACTAATCTGTTTCAATTATCACTCTGTCGTCTTTATTGTTATCCTATGGTATTTAATAGATTTCGAATATCTATTAGCCAACGTCAGTAGCAATGCCTACGCAGGAAGCCTTCAAACGATAGACTCAGAAACACTAACCGATATCAAAACATTGTTCACCTACATATCTCGCGGCGCGACTTATTCCTCCATTTGCGCGAGACACGTGCTTTCTACTTGGCGCCAGCCGCGCGGCGCGTTTCCGATACGAACTAAACGCCGCTCCAAAAGGACACCCTGGAAGGCTACATACAAAGAACTACTAATAGTTATCGCAGAACAAGCCACCGATCTGTAACGATCGACCGGATGGAAATTTTACAAATAGTATTCCCGAGAACGAATTAATTGAAATTTACTGCACGATTAACGCCGTCAATCGAGAGCTACTGAATCGAGGACTTAAAAAGCAGATAATAAATAACTGCGAGAAGATACTGGACAATCTTTTTCGATTGCGTGTGCCGAAATTTCGTGACGTGGGAGAGATTTTTACACGAATCACATGGAAGATCTCCGGATGGGTTTCGCTCAGAGACAGGCGGTCGCGACGTGTCCCGAACCGGTAGCCGGCACGGTCGTCTTAATGGAGTTCATAAAGATTAGAAGGAAGGCTGGCCGGCCGCGGGGCCGGTGAAACCACTCTCCCGGCGAACGAGTTATCGCCGCTTTAGATACATCCGAGGCGGTGTCCGGCCGCGAATATCGTCCATCGATAAACTTATCGCGAAATATCAGCTGGCGAATCCCTCGGAGCCACGATACGCTCGCCGCGCCGCTCGCTCGGCTGACAAACTGGTTCGGCGGCTGAAAACCGCGACCGTGCTGGAAAGCCACGTTTCGAACGCGCGGATTGCAAAATGAACAGAGTATCTTTTCCTCGTTCCACTAGGTGTACTTATAATACATGTATGCACACGCGTTCCTGTAGTACCCAGATAGTCGTCGCGCCGACATACATTCCATGAGATGAGACGTACAGTGATGCACAGGTAAATGAAATTAAAAAATTCAATCCAAACCAAAGCTGCGGATTTTATATTTTTAGTAAAGGATTGAATGAAAATATTAAATATGCAACTATTTTATAATCAACGAGACGAGGAATAAATATTTTGAACGACTTAAGTATTTTAATGCTCATGTATCAATATTCATGGGCTCTGTTGGTCCACTAAGTAATATTCAATAGGATAAAAATTCCATAAACGAATATGAAACGGTATTTCGCACCGGCCCGACGTTAATCTAGCGGGTAGATTAACTGCAGACAAAAGGTTGCACAGTGACGAAAGATAATCCCTGGTGATTGATGACGGACCTCATCGGATACCTCTGAAAGGTGGAAGGTTGGAAAGCTTGCCAACTTCCTGAAACTGTTTCTCACGACGCGAATCAAGCAATGCTTCCTCTATCTATTTTAACTTTCTTTCTTTAAGCTCGTATATGTATCAATAAAAATAAGTATGATTACGAAATGTATGCCATCTTATCAAAATCAGAACAACAGCAATAGGAAGTGAATGCGAAAAAATTAATAACAATAAAGTGTCTGCCAATTTCGAAAAAATATGAATAAAAAGTCAATCAATCTTCTGCTATCAAAAGAAGATTCAGATTAAAATGAAGGACAGAGCAAGATAAAGCGAGACTCTGAGTTTATGAGGAAAGAGAGCTGGAACTGGACCGGTGTCCATTCCGACAGCAGGGGATCGAATTGGAGGTTTCCACACATCTCAACCGGTCAGGGTGTGAGAAAGCCGTTATTTTGACTCGTAAGATGACGTTTTTCGGTCCAACCGGACGTATTCTAGCGTCCAAAGCTAAGAGGACATGCTAACTGGAATATCTAAATTGCCCGTGGCGAGACTCGTGTCGTACGTCAGGCAAATAGCTACCTCTGTATTTCCTCCCACTTGTATCCTCCAGTACTGTCGACGAGACGAGTGATATAATGTTTTCTCAAGATCTAACTCGCGACCTTGCCCGGATTTCCGTGACGCACGGCAATCGGCCGCGGGGACGATCTTCATCTCCTACATCCCTGAGGTTGCGGTGAGTTGTCCCCGATCAGCTGACAGTGCGAATTATTGATTGTTTACTCATCGATCTACGATCCCAGGAGATAGAGACAACTCGACGCTACGGGTAAATGACGAGACAGATTCGTAGAAAAGGAGGAAGAGTAGAACGCGTGAAGAGAAGAATGAATCTGAACTCGCGGCGTTCGATCCTTCGCGTGGCGATAGGATTGATCTCTGCGTGAAGCTGACCGGTGCTTATTTGCTCGGCGTCGCGCTACGATTGATCAGAGAGCGAGACTAGGAAGATCGATAAAGAAACGCGAGATGATTCTAGTGACGGTATCATCGTGGATGTTAGATCATCTATCGGACGGCTGGCCGGTATGCAGAGAGGTTGGTAAATGAACACAGGAACGAGAGCGACGAGTAAAAAAGTGGGAAACGTGTCTTCGCTAACGACGATCCGCATTCCTACGGGGATCGCCAAGGAAATTCCTGTTCCAGGGCTACAGCCTACGAGGGACATCGATATCCGGTTCACCTACGTGTCACTGGCTTCTCGTGCGCCGGATAAGCGAAAGCATTCGTGCCAAATTCAATTTCACGCGGAATCACACTTTCGTCACGTGTAAGACCGACGAGACTGTGAGTTAAAACATCCTCTCCATTTTCCAGAGTATCGCGAAAATTTCACTTCGAACTGCTGACTCGCGGTTCGAGGAAAGAGCTTGAACTTGCCTCGGCGAATTCACGAACATTTATGTATTTTTACTGACGAGTCAATTAACATGTTTCGGTTTATTATGTAAACGCGAAATCAGCTTGTAATTCGTATTTAGGTTGCGCAAGAAAAATAAGAATATGAATTAATTTAAGTGGATTGGTACAGGTGCTGGTTGTAATTCGTATACGGAAACAGATTTTTAATGGTAAAAGTAATTATTAAAGTTGGGAAGGAAATAGGAAGTATCAATTTATTATAAATGATTCTCGTTTAGTTTTCAATATTATGGCTCGAGATACGCGACGGAATTAAAATATACTTTTACATAAGAATTACAGACAAGTGAAGCATCGATTAAAATATCATTCCGATTAAGGATGTATAGGTTATATACTTTGTTTTCCCAAAAATTTTCTGGATTTCTTGGAAAAAGAAAACTTTCTGGTATTTGGTGTGCATGCGCGAAATTGGAAGAAACAACTGATT